TTAACGTTTTGACATAAAGCGCCATGATCCTTTGGGCTGAATACTTCAGATCCGCATTAAGGGGTTTCAATAAATATTAAGCATCAAATACATATTTCAGAAAACAGATTTTGTATTACTTACATAAATTTACAAAACGGTAAAATTTTAAATATTTAATTTAAATAAGAAGTAAATAAATAGGCATTGTTGCTAACGAAATTTTGTTTTTAAAAAGTAGTTTTATAAGAATATTTACTAAAGGTGGTTTTTAGCCCTTTTTGGTAGATAAATAAGAAGTAAAGAAGCATAGTTGATAGCTAATTTTTATTTTTATAAGAATATTAGATGAAATACAGGATGAAAAACTTAAAATTTCAAGATAATGTAATAATCGATTTTAAAGGAAATACAAAAAGAAAGTAGATTTATTCAAAATAATCGATTGAAAATAATCGATTTTTTGGAAAAATCGATTTATCTTTTAATCGGCTTTTTTAATTAATCGATTATTTTCGATTAATCAATTATTTTCGAATTTTCAAAGGTATTATATGAAAATAATCGATTGATCGAATATAATCGGTTATTTTATATAATCAATATTTCGGTTATTTTTTATAAATATCGATTTATCGGTTAATCAGCTTTTTAATAATTAATAATTATTTTCGATTTATCGATTTTTATCGATTATTTTCGAGTTTTCAAAGATAATAGAATAATCAATTTTAAAGGAAATATGAAAAGGATTATTAGAAAATAATCGATAATTCGGTTATTTTTGGAAAATAGATTTATAGTAGAATCGGCTTCTTAATTAATCGATTATTTTCAGTATTTTAATGTTAATCGAACTATTGATTTTAAATGAAATACAATAAAAATAAATTATTGATAATAATCGATTGATCGAAAATAATCGATTATTTAAAATAATCGATAATTCGTTTTTTTTTAAATCGATTTATCAGTTAATCGACTTTTTAATTAATCGATTATTTTCGATTTTTCAAAGATTATCGAATAATCTGTTTCAATGGACGAAAAAAAAATGGATTATTTGAAAATAAACGATAATTCTTTTATTATTTTTTGTAAACACTGATTTATCGGTTAATTGGCTTTTTAATTAATCGATTATTTTTGATTTTTCAAAGATAATCAAGTAGTCTATTTTAAAGGAAATACGAAAAACAAATAGATTGAAAACAGTGGATTTATCGAAAATAATCGATTATTTTCAATGATCTATCATTTATTTCGATAATCACCCATCCCTAGCGACCAAATGACTTTTAATAGGTTTAAATTTTAAAATATCCGGTTTCAGACATATGCATTTGTAGAGTTTTATGTGACTCATCCTCTATATTAATTAATATTCCTAAAGAAAGAAGCTGAGGTTACAATACAGAACAGCATTTTCTCATTTTGACTAATTTTTAATATTATGTAATAGCCGTAGAAAAAATATAATGTTCAACTCAAAAGGTTTGATTTGCAGTATTTGTCTGCGCACATAATTTTTTATAATACTCGTAGACAATGAGTACCATTTCTTGCTCTATTAACAATATTCTATTTCAACATTTTACTGTAGTCTCTTGTTGAAAAGTCCGTAGTAAATAAACGCTAACGAAATATTCTATAAAAGGTCTTCTCTTTACATAAAATGTCGTGCATCTTTTTGATATTAAAAAATTACGTTAATTTTATTTCATAATACAAAATTCCATTAACCATATATTTTAAATAAATCTAATAGTTCATTGTGATGCTAATAAACAAAGTCCGGTCCCTGTCACAGAGTTCGGGTCTCTGTCCAGTTCCCCCACTCCGTTAACCTTTCTTTAGAAATTGGCAACATTTGCGCAGGTTAAACACCGGTGTATGTTATATCTCTGCTCTCTTTTATGACAAACAGCCATTACTTTTAAAATTATTTTTTTTTTCTAAAATTTCTGTCAAGTCAAAACCTTATTTAATGATGCTATGTTTTTACTTTTATAAAATAAAATAATTTACTGGCAAAAAAATTATTTAAAATTTTTATTTTTTCATGTCTCTGACTATACCTAACCCCTTAATAAACCCCAATATATAACCACAACTTGTGGGACGCATTATAAATAATTCCGTAATTACAAAATTGTTAACAGTTTGCTTTTACTGAAGTATTTTCGAAAGATGCTCAATTTTAGGTAAATTCGATTTATGTTGCAACAAGGTTAAAAATGCAGCAATTTAAAAAGTGTCTAAAAATTTTCCACCAAAAGTTTAACATCCTAGAAAGAATATACCAACCAGTCCTTCAAAAAATTATTAAATAGGTGCAACGAGTAAAAAGTTATTTATTAATGGTTAAACAGTTTACAAGTTTAATTTGGTCTACAGTGTATATTTATAACGTGATGAAAATGTCATGAATTTCTTATTTATTAACTAGTTTTGAAGAGCTATTTTGCAATAAATTACGGTGAATGTTATTATAGAAAATCGTAAAACATGAAAACTATCGTTGAAAGCGTTGAGAGAAATCTTTTGCTAAAGAGAAGAAATTTACGCTTAGGTAGATATTTATGTGGGTCAGGCCTGCAAAATCGCAAGACGATTCAGTCAATGATGTCTTTTAACTCTTATCTTATGTGTAGTATGGTTGGCACCTGCTAAAGTATACCCTGTTCAATGCATCAAAGTTGTATTAAGTGCTTTATAGACAAAATAATTTTTTATTTCGGTTTGGACCGCTTCAATCCACTAGTGTAATTTTAGGATTTTTTTTTAACTGATCGACAAAATTATAATTTAAACAGTGAATAAATTAATCACCTTATAATTAATTAAGTTAAGCCGGATGTGGATTTTTTAAAACAAAATAACAGGATTTAAAAATGTGCTTCAGTGGTGGAACAATAATTGTATAGAGGTAAGTTTTCTGTTCCTTTTTTTATTGCATAATTCAGAATTATTATTTTTAACAATAAACCAAAAATTCGGCAATATAATGGCTGTTCTTCATTATGCTACACTGCAACATGGGGGGAAATTAAAGCTTTTTACAAATGATATCGTAAGTTCCAAAACCTTAATCTGAAATATTAGCTACCTACTCATAATAAGACGGTAGATGTTGAAAATTCAACAGCCTTAACAATAAAAAATTTACTGTTTCTTTTCTATAAATTTATTGTTTTATACGCGTTTTCCATTCCCCTACTCTCCCCTACACTGAAAAACAATAATGATCCTAATATAATTCAGCAAGGTTACTTCAAGGCGAGGGTGGCCTCTTTTACCTTCCGCTAGACTGCCCTTAATACATCTCGTTTTAAAATAATTGATAAAAATTAGAAGTGAGAGGGGTCCAAAAATATAAAAGTAATAAACAAAATTAATTATTTCAACAAAAACATTTTTGTATTTGTTTTCACTTTGGGGTTGTGGAAATGGATCCCTAATTTCATAGGGGAAATTGGGGTTACATTTTACATTTCCACATGCAAAAATAAATGATTTTGGTTAAATCCAGCGTATTTGACGTTTCCTAGTAATTTTAAAAGATATACGCTTTGAAAAAAATGCGTAACGGAAGTATAAAAACACCCACAAGGATATTAGTTATTCTACGAAAAAGTATGCCATTGCGTTCAAGTGAATGAATATATTTCGTATCCATTCCACCTAGTAAGAAATAAGCACAAATATAAAATTTACTAATCACAGTTCATATTTTGATTACCTGGCTACTGTTATTTTTAAAAAATTTAAATTAGTTATTGATGTTAAATATACATTAAAATGAGTTATTCTTGTGTAGAATCGATAAATAATAGTATTTCTATTTTTATTTAGTCTATATTTACAGATAAATAATACATTTTAAAAAACTATATAAAATTAATTTAATTCCGCGTATTAAAACTAAATAATTTTTAAAGTTATTTTATTTTAATAACCTAAAATAATTCTTAAAATGGGTGCATCTTTGTTAGAGGGTCGTAGAAAAATTATACTGTACAACTCGAGTGGATTGTCCGATTCGCACTCAGACAATTGAGCACTTCGCCTATGACGTCGTCCTCAAATTTCGTCTACGTGCAATATGGCCATCATATCCTCTTGTTGTACCAACTACTATTCTTTATCAGAACACGAGATTTTACAAACCATTCTTTATTAGATTTTACAGAAAATGTTATTTGTGAAGGTCCCTATCTTGTAAAAGCTCTGGAGCTTCCTTAAATCCGGCCCTAAATACGAAAAATAATATAAAAACATCTCTTTAGACAAGTGAAATTGATATTTGTGTTTTGTTTTTGATATATTGATAAAAATTAAAAACCGAATTTTTGTGTTTGTTTATAGAATTATCAATAAAATTCTTTTTAATATAAGTAGATACCTAATTATTACCTATTATATTTATTGTATAATTATTCACTATTAATTGTACCTGTTCTAGAAGAAAAATTGTACATAACAAAAGCAATAAAATACACGTCATTAATCTTTAGTACCTATGTTAAATAATAATAATTATTATTATTACTAGCTACTGATTTAACTTACAATTTGTCTTTAATTAATCAAATACATAAATAACTGCCTATAGTTATTTTTTTAATACTATTTTAAGACAAGGTATGAATTTATTATTCACACATGTTGATTGTGGGTTTTAAGTGGTATTATGACATTGAATACAATAAAATTATCTATTGTGAAAGTATGATTAAAGAAAAAACAAATTGCAAATTTCACTCCCATTTTTCTTATTTTCTATGAATGTTCAAGTTTTATAACTCTGAAAATATTTGATCATGTCGTTAAAAGAATTCTAAAATCGGTTTCGTAATATAAAATGAAACATTTTTATTGAGTAAACGGTAAACTTCTGCATTTTATGACATTTTAAATGAATTTTCTGAAGTTAATTAGCTCAAGACACGAGATTTTTCTTTTATGCGCGAACAAATATGGCGCTATTTGAACTCTACTTTGTACAATTATCATTTTTAGCTGAAAACATGGATTGCCTGATAGAAAATATTCTCTACGTACTCATATTTACCCTATTTCTTATAATCTATGTATACTATAAGAATGCATTTAGATATTGGAGTGATATGGGAGTCCCTCAACTGGATCCAAGTTTCCCTTTTGGTGATATGTACGATACCATTTTTAGAAAACAAAATATGGGCGACAAAATCAAACAAATTTATGACCGAATGAAAGGAGAAAGGTATGTATATGTTTTCATTGTCTTAATTTTCAACAAAAAACTTCTAACTTTTCGTAAACAAGCATTTAGCAAAACGTGAGAAAAATGAAGTTTTTACTGGTATTAATTTTAGGGTGAAGTAAGGTAATTTCGTGACATAGGTAAGTTCGTGATAGAATTATAAAAATTTGTCAGCAAGTTGCCTATTGCTTTAGATGGATGAATCCTTGGCTAGTGGAAGGTGTATGATCTTACTAGATGGCGCAACCTGCCGCGTTTGGATATCACGAACATACCAGTCATTAGAAAACTTTGTTTACATGTGGTGCGTATTACGTCGTAATTTTTCGCGGGTTTTGCAACTAGAAAGAGATATGCTGTTTTAAAAGGAATTACCGAAAGGTAGGCTTATGAAATTTATACCAATTATAGTATCTGAAATGGGGAATCTTCCTGTCAAATGCGATTTACAAATTTTGGTTTGGTTTTACCGTAACTGCTTATTCCGTGTAGCTAATTTCTTACGTTTTTTACATGTGCTGAAGATGTTAAAATGCTAGGGTTGTTGAATTTTAAATATCTTTTTTCGCAATTAGTAAAATTACCCCATATTCTAAGAATGTTTTATTTTTATGATTTACTACGAACCTTATGTAAAAAAACGTTATTGAACATATCACGAACTTACCTATTGTTTGTAATTTCAGCTTTAACATGGTAGACAAAAAAAGAAAATATCGCAGTTATGAAATATCTGATTTAATAGAAGCTGGTAGGTTAGTAAGGGAAACAAGCATGACAATCTATAGAGCAAGCAAAGAGACTGGGATACTATGGAGTACGCTGAAAGATTTTTTGTCAAAAAACCAAGACAACTAGCAACAAGTTGCAAAACTAGGAAGGCCATATACACTGACGCCAGAAATTGAAACGAAACTATTCAATTATATTGTCAAGATGCAGGAACTAGGTTTTGGTCTAACAGTTGAAATGGTAAGAAAAACAGCTTTCGAATTGGCAAAAGAATCTGGTAGAGAAAAGTTTCTCAAGGAAGGTAACAATTCTGCAAGTAAATGGTGGTGGTCAAAATTTAAGAAGAGGTACAATCTTGCTTTACGCGTTCCAGATAATCTCGCAGCTTATCGCGCCTCTATGGGTAATCTAGAGATAATTTAGGACTACTTCGTAAAACTAGAAGCACTCATGGAGAAGCTAAACATAAAGAACATGCCGAGTAGAATATGGAATTGCAACGAAACAGGTCGTTAAGCCCAGTAAGGTTGTTACGTCTATTGGAAAACGATACATTTACAAGAAAACATTTGCTAAATAGGGGTGAGTCACATACCTTTCTTGGTTATATCTGTGCTGACGGGACATGGATTTCTCCCCTAATTATTTTTAAAGGAATTCGCTGGAATGATAATTTAAAATTTCCTGGTACACTAGTTAAACTGTCCCCTACTGGTTGAATCAACACTGATTTATTTCTGGAGTGGTTCCAATTCTTTATTAAATCAATTCCTCCAGCTCGTCCTGTTATCCTTCTGATGGATTCTCATGCCTCTCATATAAATGCCACAGTAATTTCTCTAGCTAAAGAGAATGACATTTATTTATTCACTTTTCCGGCGCAATCATCTCATTTGCTTCAACCCCTAGATGTGGGCGTGTATAAATCTCTTATGGCCAATTGGTCTAAAAGTTTAAACGATTTTATGAGAGAACATCCTACAGAAAGACCCAACAGGCAAAATTTTTACTCTCTGTTAAATCCAGCATTTATCGCAAGGTTTTGTCATTCCATGCTTTTCGAAAAACTGGGGCGTGTCCATTTGACAAAGACGCTATTTCCAGAGAGGCTGTTGCTCCGTCTCTACTTACCAATAAAGCAGCTCCTCAAGGACCAGTTGTTGCAGATGAAACTGAGCCAGCCACTGCAACTGATCAGAAGCAGTTATTGTCTCTACCAGTGGTACCCAGTGCATCCGATGTTCCTGCCAAAGCAAACCAAAGGAAACGGGATTCGAAAGCTAAATGTCTCAATGATTTTGATGATAATAGCTCTAAAGTCAAGGTAAAATCTGCAATGAACGTCAAGACTCAGAAGTCGTCTACATCCATAGCCAAGACTATTTCTGAAAAGAAAGTTCCCCAACAGCAGAATGACAATGAGGATGACTGGAGGTGTGGTGTTTGTGAAGGAAGTTACTTGGAAGATTGTAAGAAGAAAAATGAAGCACGGTGGATATAGTGTTCCTACTGTTTAGTACCATATCACCTTAATTGTCAAGCATCCGAGGAAGATACTGTTTTTATGTGCGATAGTTGCGCTGGTACTAGCAGCGATGACTCAGATTAAAATTTTACGCATAAAGCGATAGATTGTAACTTGTAACCGATAATAAAACCGTATCTTACAATTTTTAGCACTAACTGTTGTCTCACGAATATACCTACCCCATATCACGAAATAAGATATCCTATTACGAAATTACCTTTCCTTGACTGTTATTTTAAAACTTTTTTAATTAAAAAAAAAAAAACAAAATCTAAAGCCAAACTGTAAGGTCTTAGCTCCCTCACAATTGTAGCAAAAACACATGCCACTTTCATTACTTTCAAACGACAAAACAATAATCATCCATGAACATACCTTACTTCACCCTATATTTGTTTTAACATCATTATTGATTGGTGTCAACTTATACCCTCCCGTGTCTGTTATTTATGGTAAAAAATCTAAAAAGCATAAATATATTAATTGAAATCCAGAAGTTTAATTAAAACGAATTAATGACTCTTCCGCAATATTTTTATTAAACTTTGCCGTTGATTGAAAGCCTTTTCATTATCTCGATTTTTATTTTCAGGTACGTAGGGCTGTACTTCTTCAGCCGCAAAGCATTTTTGCCTTTGGATCCCGTCCTTATAAAGGATATTCTCAACAAAGATTTCCAGCACTTCTACGACAGGGGTATTTATTATGACGAGAAAAACGATCCTCTATCCGCCCATCTTTTCTCCATTGCCGGTAAGTCCGGGCGGAAAAAGGCGCATTAAGGGCTAATGGATTTTTAAATTACCTCCCAAGATCCCAGACGTATTAACTGTTGCATATATCAGGCAGGGGGAGATTTTTGTGGTATCAATTGTAAATTGCTTCTATGTAGGTTTTTCTTTTTATCACAATACTAAAAGCTTGTTCCCACAAGGACGTTTCTTGTCATTTTGATAATCTGACGCTGTTTTTTATTTTGTTACTTTTTACTCATTTATAATGGCGAGTGAAGTTTAAATAAGAATTCAAAATTAAAGTTTGTATTAGGGCAGCGTTTCTCAGCCTGTGAGGCGCGCCATAACTCTACGTAGAGTGGAGCCCCTCCATCAAAATGAAAAAAAAAAAAAAAAAACGATAATTACTAATACAAAAAAATTTATTCGCAGAAAGAAAAGCAAAAGATATTTATTCTGAATTTACAAAAAATTAAGTAAGTACAGTACACATTTAAACTAATATAGTATAAATATAATTTTATTAGTAGGTACTGTCAAATGCCAAATAAAACTAATAATAAACTCATCAGTACTATATTAAAAGTAGCTTTAATAATTATTAGTGAGTCTCTTGGGCCTGTCTCGCACAGCTAAGATTTTCAAAAGAAGGTTTTATATTACAGATTGCCACTCTCAGTTCTTTGTCTATATTCAGTCGAGACCTATATTTTGTCTTAATGAGCAATCCAGTCCCTTCTGACGTCACACCGCACGGATCTAACGACCTCCCCTTAAAGTATTTGGAACCTTGTTCGCTACATAAATTTGACAATGTCGTTTGTCGTGCGCTGAAGAATAATCATAGGATTGGGTAAGGTCCGATTACAATTACATGAACACAGGTATATATATCATCAATGCGCTAGTTCAGTGTGATGTCATTTTGGTTTCACTGACTTTAATTTCCAACCAAACTTTTAACAAAAACATCAATAAATTTGACATACGTTTTTACTGTTTTTATTTTATTTATAAATATTGTTTACAGGTCATAAAAAATAGTTTAAAGGTTATGTAATTGGTAACTAAACGATTGTATATTTGATACATGCTCTCTACTTACTTTAGGAATATATTTATAAAAGTGAAAAAACCGATATAATTTAGGTAAACAAAACGAACAAAACGCACTCAAAAAATCTACTGTCACTTTAATTGTCAGTGGAACCGTAATTACATCATCACTGCACTAGCGCATTGGCGAAGTAATTCGTTGGCTATTGCCGCCTACTGGGGGTTTAGTGGCTTGTTAATATTATAGGAATGTAGGAATACTATTTTTAAACCAAATAACTTATTTTTATTTATTGATAGTTATAGATGATATACAGGGTGTCCCGAAATTGGTCATATTTTAACAGCGTAATCTACATCCTAAAATAGTAGTAAAAGTTCATATAAACATAGGTCCGAAAACGTTTCTTTTCCGAGATACAGGGTGTTAAAGGTGAAGTCCTAATACCACACTTTTGTAAATATTTTCTAAACGTCTAAAGATAATTAGGTAAAATTTGGTACAAATACTTACCTTTTAACGCTCCATTTATTGGACTAAACCCCAGTTTTTGATCATCTTCTTAGGTGGGTAAATTAGGGTAAAATTGCTCTAAGTTTTTTTTGTTGATAGTTTTTAACATTTTTGACTATAAACGAAACGTTTTCGGACCTATGTTTATATAAACTTTTACTCCTATTTTTAACCTTCAAAAAAGGAGGAGGTTTTCAATTCGTCGCAATATTTTTTAAAATTTTGTTTTATGTATGTTCAGCGATAATTCTTTAACACGGTGTCCGATTTCAATGATTCTTTTTTTGGTAGAAAGGGGATACTTCATGGGTGGTCCCATATAAATTTGGTCAAAATCTAATAATTGGGCCCTTGAGAAAATCCTCAAACTCTTCATTTTTTATGTATGTTTAGCGATAATGCTTTACCACCTTGTCCGATTTATATGATTCTTTTTTTGTTAGTAAGGGGGTACTTCAGGGGTGGTCCCATATAAATTTGGTTAAGATGTGGTGACGGCATCTGCACGTTTTTGAATTCGTTTTTTTTTAATTTTTAATTTCTAATACTTGTAGGATGTAGATTACGCTGTTAAAATATGACCGTCTAATTTCGGGACACCCTGTATATTGGAAATTCGAAATAGTTATGACGTAGCGGTGTTCTTCTAATTGTAATCGGACCCTAGGTATATGGATACGGAAAGTGATGAATTGGAGATAGGTAAATTGTATTTATTGTATTAAAGGAACAACAAATACAATTAAATAAGTATATTAATATAACAATTTTTTAATGTCTGTATAAAATTTTTTTTTTCATACAGATTATTAAATTAAAAAAATAACTATTAAAACACGAAATTTTTTCTTTTTTACAACAAACAATATACAATACTGTTGAATCAAAATTTTCTCTTGGCAGCAGGTGCTTTTTGTGATGCGACAATTATGATGCTTTGCATCTCATGAATTAAAGCTAATTCTCTTTCAATCTTAAGGTTATCACACCCCTTATAATTTTTGGAGAAGAATATCTCAAAATATTTAAATTTTGGCAAAATAAATTAGGCAATAATATTTAGAATATGCATATATTTTAATGTTTTAATTCCTTCCAGTTTCCGAAAAAAACTAAAACGACTTTAATTTTGAAATATCTTAATGAAAATAAATGTATTCCTCAACAGCACTATTCTTAATATAATCCCCAAATTTAGGCTCCTAATGTCTTGTTAATGATTTCTTAAAATTCGCGAAAATTAGTGGCTAAAACGCCTGGTTAAGTGCTATCTTCTAGTGTAAACTGGTGTAAATTGTTGCAAGAAACGAATAATGACAGAGTGTACGATACGATATTTACAAGCGCGTTACACCAGAAGGCAGCACTTAACGAGGCGTTTTAGCCACTAATTTTGGCGAATTTTAAAAAATCATTACCAAGACATTAAGAGTTTAAATTTCGGGATTATATTAAGAATAGTGCTGTTGAGGAATGCATTTATTTTTATTATCATATTTGATTTTTTTCTCGGAAACTGAAAGGAATAAAAACTTTAAAATATAGGCATATCTAGTTAATATTACCTAATTTATTTTGCCAAAATTTTAATTTTTTAACAAAATTACTTTTTGAAATATCCTTGTCCGAAAATTATAAAGGCTGCTGCATTCACTTTAATATACCAACATAAGATGGGTCTTTCCTATAACAAAATTTCCTCAGCCCACTCCTTTTTCGAGATATCACCCTTAAGAGGTGGTGACTGCAATTGAGTTTCTATTTTTTTTCTAAAATTTCAGTAAAGCTAGAAACTTGAAATTCTGTAATTTTCGTGCACTCGCAAAGGACTAACCACGGTTATTTTTTAATATTCCTGTTACATTATAGGGGGGTGAAATTAGCAACCCTTACTTTATTTCATATCAAAACTTTTTTTCGAGATGAAGTTTTATGAAATCCTTGTTTTATTTAAAAAAAAAAAAATATTTTTTAAGTTTTTTCCCAAAACCAATAGCTTCATAGAAAAAAAATACTGTTTTAAAAAATTTATTAAATTTATTAAAAAAAAAAAAATGATAAATTAGGGTGAAGCTATTGGTTTTGGGAAAAAAATTCAAGAATAAAAAAAAATAAATAAAACAAGGATTTCAAGTTATAATTTTATTTCATAAAAGTTCATCTCGAAAAAAAGTTTTGATATGAAATAAAGTAAGTGTTGCTAATTTCACCCCCCTATAATGTAACAGGAATATTGAAAAAATACCCGTGGTTAGTCCTTTGCGATAACAGAATTTCAAGTTTCTAGCTTTACTGAAATTTTAGAAAAAAATAAAAACTCAATTTTAGTCACAACCTCTTAAGGGTGATATCTCGAAAAGGGGTGGGCTGAGGAAATTTTGTTATAGGAAAGACCCATCTTAGTTTCATATGAGCAATCACTTCCTGAATTTTGACGCATATATTTAGAAACACCCTGTATATTACACATTTTTTTAAGCGGGCAAAATTCTTGACACTCTTTTCCCTAATTGGCACATGTCGTATTTCTCTAGGATTTACTAACTCTGGCAGCAAACAATTAAAATAGAAATTTGTCAGCTGTGGTATCATTTTTGCCTACCAGAATTTTTCATTTCATAAACTAACTAAAAACTAAATTAAACAAAAACCTAATAACGCCTCAACAACAAACTAAGACGATCACAATAATTTCGCACCTCTTCAAAAACAACTTCTTATTTTTCGACACAGGAATTAACAAATTTAACTAAACAGCAGCTACCCTTTTAACCACGGGCTTCATAGACTAGCAGCGTTGCCATATTCTCTGGTATCATTGTTTTAATAGAATTAGTATCGGAATGAAAACTATGTTAATCTTTTGTCCTGTTTAAAATTGTTAATCTTTAAAAAAAAGTTATTTAGAAAATAGTTAAGATATTTGTTATAGAATGACGCTAAAGAGCCAAAAAATTAAATTTGTTAAAAAGTTGAAATTTTTGTTGTTTTTCTTTAAAAATATAAGTTTTTCGCGATTTAGCGTCATTCTTGGATCATTTTTTAGAACGATTAGCCTGAACCATTTTTTTTTACAATTTTTTTTAACTGCCTCAAATGTAAAATTGATTTTTGGCGGAGGAGCGTCCGTCATGTTTGCTCCTAAAGCAGCCACCGCAGAAAATCTGACTTCGGATATTGAAAATTGCAATAATATACGAAATACTCTTATTTTCAGTGAAGAAAAGGCATCATCCACTCCCGCCCAAAATTCAGAAATAGATTTATTACTAAATTCTCTCTTGATTTCGCCGCTTGCAATAAAGTCTATGAAGATTTCTTTTTCTGCAGTTGAGAGGTCTTCGGGCGTAGTTCGAAATTGATCCCTAACCCACTAGTAACTTGCAAGAAAATACTTTTTAAAATTCTGTGCCAACATAGCTAAATGACTTTCTATTGTCACAAAAACA